CACACACACACACACACACACACACACACACACACACACACATACACACATGCATACGTACATACATGCCTCATAGTATTTACCTGTCCATAATTTTACTCTTATAAAGCTCGACTCTTTTCCCCTCACAGTCAAAATGTTTGCTCAGACTTTTTATTGACTAAGCCAATTAGCTTGTATATTGGAGAGTCTTTTCGAAGTGGTCTTTATGCTTCCATGAAAACCTTTTAATATATCACCTTTTAATATTACCTCTTGCCCTCATTTCTCAGCTTTCCGTTACCTTACCGGCTAGGTCTACCACTTCTCTCAGCTACACTAATTTAATGTTTTACCTTAAAAAATATAACCATAAACGTGCATTGATCTGCTGCGGCCTCTCTTTCGTGTCCACAAAACTGTCGCTTAATTTGGAGTGCACTAAATGATCCGCTGTATGTATCAAATTTTTACAGTGGCACTTTTTATGAATGTGCTCTTTTTTTTTCATTTCGACCGCCATTGTAACTATATATCATTACAATACTACACAAAAATCGGTTAAATCATTGCTATTTAAACAAATTCAAGAAACTAATGGTTTAATCAGAATTGTTCAAAAAAAGGAGCGCTGCTGAGTAATCCAGAAATATTGCCTTCCAGACACATGCGCATAGCGTTTGACACATGCACAGCTCACTAATACCGGAGGCTGCACAGTCTATTCAGTCTTTCTAAAAATTATCAAGCCTCAAAATACTCTCCCACGTAGTTTTTGGGGCCTGTTTAAGGCACACATCTGTTGCACGCCTGGTAACGGATTTGGCAATGGCAACCCATTCTCCGAAACGCCCTTCAGACCGGTGAATTTTCCTGTTAGCCTTTGAATGGCCTCTACGGTACATTAATTTTTGCATAGGTAAACGTACGAATGCCGATACCATGCAGCTACTCATCTTGAACCATGTACACCGATGAAGTCATAACGTAGAGGTGCTAATTTCATTTTACAAAGTGGTGCCGAGATTTTGCTCAGCCAACGTCCATTTAATTTTTGCAGGCTTCGGGAAGATTCGGCAGTGGAGATGTTAAATTAATCTCGTGCGTAGCAAGCGAGATTGCTGAAGATATTCCTTTGTTTGACGATTTTTTCTGATGTTTTTTGGAATATAAGAAATAGTCAAACAAAGAAATATCGTCAACAGCCTCACCACACAGAAAAATCTTTGTTGAGAAAAACGAGTCTGTGGTCAAAAGTTGACTGAAAAACATCCCTCATCCAAAAACTGGCATCTCAGTTTTCATTTTGCACTCGTTTCTTCAAATACAGCATTTTATAGCATTTTAGCGTTATATATAGCGTTCCTGGTTTCGTTTATTTGATTTTTTCCAACGCAATTTAGCACACCATAGCTAATTTTAAAATCCTTTTTAGTTCAGTCTACATCCTCGTAGTAAAATCCTGCATCCCTCGTACCAAATTCTTTATTTTTTTAATCGAACGCTGAGTCCCATCGATGATTTTAACTCCCTTCACTGGACTATTCGTTTTTTTCTCATAAAAATCATCTTAACACCAAAATGGGTATAGAAAAGACTGTAACTATTAGCGAAGTGGATATGTCACCACCCGAGAGATTGCTATCGCATCCCGCAATGAGTTGAAATGGTATTCGCATATGTAATTCACAGCGATAGTGGCTTCTGACTGATCTGCGAACATTATAAAATTCATCACTGCTAATGTACATCAGGTTCGTTGCAAGTTATTAAGCTGGGCTCTGTAGGAAAGCTTAAGGGGTAATCACTGCTTTTCAAATTCTTACAATTGGTGCAGAATTCCCAAAAAATGAAATTTTGTCCGTATCGTTGGTCATAAAAGGGGGGCTGTTTTATAAAGAACAAAGATACGGAAAAAAAGGAGACAAAATGGAGCCCTCAAAGCCGGATTTGAGGAACATATGAAGAGTTTTCTAGCAAGCTTTTTAAGTTTAGCTCTTACTGTTGGTGCTCCCACGCACATCAGCCGTTGCTTTCCCACCCAAGCGCTGCTTTTTGTTTGAAACATTTCCACCCAAACCTCACTCGTTCATTACACACACTTTTATGTAAATACAACCGTCGGGTAGTTCAGTAAATGGCCCAGCAGCGTTGTGGATACATTCGCCTGGTCCAGCTGCTGTTGGGAACGTTTTCAACCTTTCATCGCGCTACAGTTACTTTCAAACAGACCCAAGCCTCCTACAAATTCCTTGCACCCATAACCTTCTATTTCTTCTCTCGCCTGTCCATTTTCAGCCCTTCGTTTTCCGGTTTTCGTCAGTCCATCTCTCGTGCTGTTTACAGTGACAAAAATCTGCATTCTACTTAGAGCAGTTTCGTAGAAGCTCTGCTTCAGTCAGCGTTCAGTCCTTTTGATCTGTAGTGAAAGAATCTGCTTCGCTTTAGGGTGAGGAAAGACAAATGCAAGTATAAATGGAACCAAGGACATTTGGTAAGAATTTTGAGCCTTTACTTTTGAGGTCATTCCGGAACCGCCTGAAGACGGAGCACTTTTTATTTTGCAGTAGTTCCAATTCTTTGCAGTGTCTTGGGTACGTGTGGCACTTTTTTTTTTTATGAATGACATTGCCGTTTCACTGAAATCCCTTGTGCTCTCGTCTTCAAACGTACTTCTTTTGATGGCCCCCGTGTCGCTCCTATGCCGAAAAATTGCGCATATGCTTATGCATTATAATTGTGATGAGTGAAACTGCAGGACTGCAGTACATGGCGAATGAATCTGCAATCGAATGCTGCTTCTATTTTATCAGCTCACCCTGATGCTCAGTAGCTAGTCTCAAGCAACTTAGAACTTCCAATCAAGAACGAAGGAGGAGCACGAATGCAATCGAAGTGTCTCTTCCAGAATTTTAGTGAGGATGAAGCGAATCGCTGCTTTACGGAACGATTTGGAAATTTTTATGATATCTGCAATAGGAAATGCTTTACAAATATGCAGCTCGCCTCACTGCACAACGATGAATTGGAAAATGTTGTGTATGGCTTGGTGAGTATATAGAATATCTTTTCCAAAGATCTCCCGTCAATCCTTTACCCTTTGCAATATTTAGAAGTACTAGGTACCAAGACACAGGTACTGGGGAACCAAAAGGAGGCGTTGAAAGCAAAAGCGGAAAGGGAGAGGGACAGATGAAGCGGAAAGAGGACGGGAGGGGAAAAAGGGAAAAGACAGCTGTTCCTTCTCTGCGGTAAACGAATTTTCGTTCTTTTTTTTCCGGAAATTAATGATATTTTAACTTTTTATATTTTATATCCATCATGCTGTTAATGGTTTTAATGCTTAATAAACCCACTTCCGAGTTAAATTTCCAAAAGCCCTTTTTTTGAGAAATCTTGGTTGCGCCTCACTTTCCGTCCGCATTTCACAGGCTGTTCCTACCCAGTCGAATTAAAATTTATAATTATCCGCATAAACATTTTTAATATGTATACGTCACATGAAATACCCTCGTTTTGCACATCGCATTAAGAGATTGTTAACAATGAAAGCAGCTGATTTCTTCGCCTTATTTTCAGGATAAAGTCACTTACCGCATAAGTTCCAAATGAAAAATTTTTAGTCTGTTTCTCTTCCCACTGATGCAGTCACACACTGCATGCAACTGCACCCTTTACTCCTTTTCCCTGGACATTTGTGTGCTTGTGCATGTAGTCCAGGTGGGAACTGCCGCAACGAGGAATTTGAAATTTGAGAAACATAATGTTCAGCTATGCAAGGCTACAATCCTGAATATCAATTTCCAAACTTTCCTGTGCCCGAACGTTAATATTTGCCTCAAAACATTGTTAATTTTATGCTTTTTAATGATAAAGCCGAGAAGTTGGAAAATTAGAAGCATAATTGACGTTTAGTTGATCTTATGGAGCAAAGAAAATAGCCTAGAATTAGTTTCGAGAAAAAAAAACGCAAATTGTATGTTTTTAAATGGTATTCTGAGAAGTGGTTAAGGTGTTTCTATTACAAAAATTTTTAAAAGTCTTCTTTCTCCGCCCGAAAAAGCCTTAATTGTGCCATGGCCATGAATATTTTGTTGAGCCCATGCGTAGTGGACGCTGAACTCAGTTTATTGATGAATGGCTTGGAAGCACTGAATAAGGTTTTCATTCCTCTTTTATAACACATTTTTCATAGGTGAGGAATAAAGTATCCCATTCTTTTCATCATGCGCACGAAGCTTGAAAATACAATGGCACAAATAGTAAGGGACATTTTCGGCGAATTATTCGAAGTACGGCACATTGACAGATGGGTTTTTCCGAGTAAATATTTTAATAGCACAATAAGACTTAAAAAACATCGCTAGGTTTCGTTTTAACATTGAAGAAATGCGGTCTCAGGGGAGAAAGTAAAAATCTCGTTTATTAAAATATTGAAAAACGAGCTGGAAAAAATATGAAACGAAAGCAGAGAAAGCAATATTATCAAACGAATCTTCACGGATAAATATGGCTATGCCCGGTGGCTGTCAAATAGCGCTATAGTAGAATTTTTAGGTTACTACGGTATCGGTCCCTCACCCCGCAGATTTAACTCAGCAGAAGGTCTATGAAACGTGATGTGTAGCTATCCTGTCCTTCGTCTGCAACTTCATTTATATGGTTGTTTGCTACCGGCTTTTTTTTAGCACATTAGAGGCTGTATTCACAACGATGCTCCTTTTCAGTAGAAATAATAATGAAACAACGCAAAGAGGTTTTATAGGAAAACTAATGTGTTTGTACTGAAAACTATAAATTGAAAATTCTCTAAAAGAGGGAATGTTGATTTTTTGTGAAAATTTTTAGTTGCAAAACGGGGGAGGGACGTTTCGGCTTATAGAGTCGTGCACATTTTTTTCCAGTACCATAACTGACAGAGAGGACGTATTTTTTTTAATGTCATGCAACAAAACTGAAGTATCGAAACCTCAGTACTCATTTTATCCGTTATTCTGAGTGCAGAAAAGGTATTTTATCAAAATGTAATTGGTTTAAGGCCACAAATTTCCTGAGGAGAAAAATTATGAATAAATAGTGATAAATGTTTTCTGTACTTGAGAAGGGGTGAAAGAATGAGGAAGAAGGCGAATGGAAGAGGTGTTACAGTCTTAGCTGAAGAAGTGAACTGTGAACTTTTTTGTGGTCGGCGAATTCTTACAGTGAGTGGAAGGTGGCGAGGGTTTAAATTAAATTTATATCTCAGGCGATTGGGATCTTTCTCAATTAGCCACCAAAACAGCTGTTAAGAACCGTATTGATGCTGTTTGCAAATGCGACGCTCTATTTATAAACATCCTGAATTGCCAGGAAAAGGGAACCAAGCGGGCGAAAGCAGATGGCCGAATTCTGGAAGTGACCATCAAAATTCTAAGTACTGAATACATAACTGATACAAAATTGCAGCTTTTTCCGATACTGGTATTTTTTGTGGTGATTGCTAATGTGCTAGTTGCAATAGTGCTATCAAAAAAGCACATGATAACGCCGACAAATGTGGTCCTTAAATATATGGCAATTGCGGATCTGTGCGTTGGGCTTGTGCCGTTGCCCTGGACATTCTTTTATCACAGCCTTGGGAATTATTTACTGGAGGATCGCCTTCAGCTTTGGTGGTGCTATATGTATAAGTACAGCATGGACGCTGTTCCTCCTGTATGTCACAACATCGCGATGTGGCTGACTGTACTTCTTGCTGGCCAGAGGTTATTTACGCAATTTTATTTCAGGAATTTGATGAAATCAAGTCCGATTCCTTCGTTTACAAGTGTAAATGCATCAGGTACAGCGTTCGGCAAGATGTAATTAAAAAAGTAAAATTTGTATTGGCACATATATCCAAGACCAGCACCGTAGACTTCGAACCGAAAACAACATTTTTTTTTCAGTTCAGCTCTTAGCCAGTTCTCTGGCTAGTTTTAAATCTGTTTTTGAAGACACTCATATCAAAATTTGTTTTAAATGAAAAAAGCAGAAAAAACAGTGGCCAAATGTAGCTTCATTTGTTTGCTCCTGGCATTTACCACTGTGTTGAAAAAAAGCGAAAAAGTTTGCCAGCAAAATCCTAGCTTGAGCTTCTGGCACTGAGCTGCTATTCTTGGTTCTGTTTTGTTTTCTTCAAAGAAGGATCTTTTTTTTTGGGCCAATTTCCCGTTTGTTTGCAAGCACTAGACATTTGCAATCATCCTCATCAATAGTGTTAAACAAATCCCCCCTTCTAAGCGAATCTGTTTAATCCCCTCTTCAAAACGAATCGCTTCCTTTTTCGTTCCTGTTCCCTAGATTAGCAATTTTTTTTAACTTGAACAAAAATGAAATAAAATGTTTTGTTCGAGTAGCATTTGCCAAAAGCCCTGGCTTTAAATATCAAAAATTTTATGAAAACACAAAAAAAACTTTTGTTTGGCTAATGAAGCTTCTTAAAGTTTAACTGCCTTCTTTACGTGAGCGATTACACATCCTTTGAGAAATAAAATTAAAATACACATTTCTCCAGGTACATATCGGTCGAATATCCCATCCAATCACACACAATATGCAGTGTTCGGAACGTGCGTTTAGCAACACTAATTATAACGCTAATATCGTTGGTATGCGGCTTGCCAAAATCGTTTGATTATTACTACGAGGTTTATGAGGGGTGGGCATTCTTCCCGGATGGCGAAACAAAATATCTCAGGTACACAACCAATTTTCAGATTCCCATGATTGTCAATGACTGTTCGGTCGTATAGCGTGAAACTCCTCGTATTATGGTGTTGCAGCTCTGGGCACCAGGGAAAACTAATCCAAATCACTACGCGTCTCACCAATTGCTTCCGTTCGCAACTCGCTTTTAAACTAATCTAATTTCTTGCTGTGCTGTTGAAACTAAGCTTCTTCTTCAAGACGCATCATTTAGTGGCAGAATTTTTTTTTTTTGCGAAGATTACAAGAGTCGCCCTGAAAATAACACTAAAATGTCGGAGATGTTACACATATCTAACCCTACCCCCCCCCC